GCCCTGGTCCTGTGGTTGGGTGAATATTGGTACATATAATGATTTCCTGTGACGGGTTTCTGGTTCCCGGACCAATCTCCCATCATCCCAGAGCACGCCGGTCCCTCTAGGGGCCAGTGACTCCCATCATCCCAGAGCACGCCGGTCCCTCTGGGGGAGTCTGGGGGCCAGTGACTCCCATCATCCCAGAGCAGGCTGGTCCCTCTGGGGGCAAGTGACGCCCATCATCCCAGAGCAGGCTGGTCCCTCTGGGGGCCAGTGACTCCCATCATCCCAGAGCAGGCTAGGGTGACAACACTCTGCCCTTGTTCAGACACTTCCTGTCATAGGGTGACAACACTCTGCCCTTGTTCAGACACTTCCTGTCATAGGGTGACAACACTCTGCCCTTGTTCAGACACTTCCTGTCATAGGGTGACAACGTCCTGCCCTTGTTCAGACACTTCCTGTCATAGGGTGACAACGTTCTGCCCTTGTACAGACACTTCTTGTTATAGGGTGACAATGCTCTGTCCCTGTTCAGTCACTTCCTGTTATAGGGTGACAACGTTCTGCCCTTGTTCAGACACTTCCTGTCATAGGGTGACAACGCTCTGTCCTTGTTCAGACACTTCCTGTCATAGGGTGACAACACTCTGCCCTTGTTCAGACACTTCCTGTCATAGGGTGACTGGTGTAAAGTGTGTCCCACAGGCTCTTCCCTCCAGTCTGAGGCCCCAGAGTGAATATAACAATGGCGCCCTTCCTTCTCCCAGGATGCTTTGCAGGGCCGGCCGCCGGTGACTACACCCGCATGGCTGGAGGATGTTGCCGGCCTCGTATGGAGTCCCCAGGCGGCCATTTTCCAATTAATTTCACAAAGCTGCCGGCGGCGTCTCTGATTCTAATCCCGGGGCCCCTGGAGGGAACGTGAAGGATAAGCTGATAAGATGTTCATGGAGACGGCAGCGTGCGATCACCCCAGGGGCCAACACCACCCGAATAATGATGCAGCGTGAGGAATAGTTGTCTCCTCCGCGCCATGACGTGATCCGCGGGTCTGACACGTTTATCATTCACTCCGCGAGCGCCAATATCTGATATCTGCCGTACCGGGCCCCGGGACGCCCAAAGTTCCCCCCTCCCCTGAATCCGGGGTCCCTGAGGTCCTCCTCCCCTGAATCTGGGGCCCCT